GAAATGTAAAACTAATGAGAAATAGCTGGGAAGGAGAGTGAAGTCAGTGAAAGCCAGTATATTAACACTGGGTTAAATAAAGAATGGAATAATACTGGGTTTAGACTGCACCTAGGATGGATCCAGTGCACTCTCTGCTCTAGCAGTTGATGTGAAAGTGCATAATTCATTTTTGAAGAATGGCTGACACTGCAAGACATAGAATGCAGGATGTTTCAGTGCCAACTGGGCTGGATTTGGGCTGTGTTAATCCTTGGCTGTGGGGCTTCACCTCTGCCCGCTCAGGAAAAAAAAAATTGGTGCCCAGTTGCCACCCAAACTGTGTATGGTAGTACGACTAATAGTATTCATGTAGCTACAGGTGGGCTCACTTAAGGTTCTGCTAACTGGTATTTTGTAATCAGATGCTTGTTTTCATGAGTCCCAGCTTCAAATAGATCTAAAGGTGCTGGTGAATTCTTAAGCCCTTGTTTTCATGCAGACCTCCTCAATGTAAATTAAAGCCAAAGCAAAATAAGCTGATGCACGAGCAAGACTTTTCTCCTAGGGAGCAGGGTACCCTGGGTTGGGTCCAAAAACTTTGTACCACTAGAGATTTAGACTCATATTTCCATTTAACTGCACATTTTTTTACTTGTGCAACTTGAAGTGGGAAGAGCTGTTACAAGGGGTAGACTGAGTCTAGAGGGTTGCCTGTTGTCTTCTGGGCTGTAGCCTTAAGCTGCTGTGATGTTTCTGTCCCTTCTCTCTTCTGCACAATTTCTCAGTTCATCAACTGGAGTAAACTATGCGTAAGCATGAAGTAGTTGAAATGCTTAGATTGCTTTACTGGAAACACTGGCAAAGAGGGAAATGTGATAGGATTATGCTGCTGTCCAGGACATACTACCATGCAGATATCTCTTCTGGGGCCTCTTTTGCTGAGAAGTGACTCAAAAAACCATCATATTAATTCAAGATGCTGACTGTTTGTGGTTGGTCTGTCTCAAAACCCTACTGCTCTAGGCATGGGAGGTATTCATGTCTTAGAGTGCATTAGAAGTTAAATCACTGGAGTTGTTCAAAGCAGTTGTGCTGCCTTTGTATACTCCTTTCCCCAAAATTCTTGAAGATTCTTTCCTCTAACTTTTTAAAAGAAGTGAATAAAGGTTTCAAATGATGCCAGTTTCTTTAAAACCAAATGCTTTGATCAGCACATGTAGCTGCAGAAGTCTGGGGGAAGGTGTAAATCCTATTAAAGACACAGGCTGCAGGAAAATACACTCAGGGGGGTAGGAGGAAGAGCAAAACATGCGCTTCTGAATGAGCATTGCAGCTACAAAGGTGTCAGGTGCCAAGCAACAAAGCACATAAATTGCCACTGTTTGGTCTGTATTTGTGGGAAGCATCAGGAGTCTTCATGTGCATGAGTCACTCCAGCAGCAGCTGTAAGTCAAATCCATGCATGTCAGTGTAACTCTTGGCCGTGCCAGCACCAGGAAGGAGCAATTGGAGGCATCATGGGATGGGAGAACTAGCTTGCAGAAGTCCTCTGATATTAGCTAGGGAAGAAATGAGACTTTCAGAAAACATAATGTAATCTGAAACATGACTATATGGCAACTGTATTTCAGGTAAGCATCTTTGTGGCTGAGTGGCTTCTGACAATGTCCTGAACTCTAATACTAGAGCTACTTGGTAGTCTAGGATCCTCTAAACTTATAAGCCCCATACCTGAAAATACCCTCTGTGACCACCTGTGATTTGTTGGTTTAACTAAACTTTTATTAGAATGTTCAGCTATTAAGGGCAGTGCTACTGTAGAGGAGAATAAAAGAAAATGAGGTGGAGGAACTTGCTGAAAGTGTGATTGCTTCTGTTAAGGATGGAAAAATAATGTGTGAACATGTTTTTGATTGTGTAACTAGACCAACTGACTTGAAACACTGAAATGAAAATTTCCCTTTCAGGTGCTTCTGTGGTGCAAATGCACCACAGCATTTGTGGCCTGGAAGAGTGCTAGTCCTTGCCCTGCACATGGGAACTGATGATTACTGCAGTTTCCAAGAGTTATGTGATATTACTTGTTAAGTGTGCTGGAAGAGGAACCTCTGGGGTACAGTGAGTGGCATAGCAAGCTGAGCTACCTGCTCTGCAGTTACAGGTTTTTAACACCTAATGTTTATAGTCACTGGTTTGTACAAGTTGCTCTTGTATCCAAACCTTTGCTAATTTTCAGGATTGATTATTCAATATAGTGAAGGTATTCATTTTGCTATATTATTTTTTTTCTGGGACTTAAGTCTGTAGCAATCTTTTTTCAGGCAAGAATAGGAAACCTGGAAGGAATAACCTAAGTGTTTCAATATTATTTTTGTTTATTCCTTCCTCCCTCAGGATGACAACTGGGGTGAGACCACAACAGCAATCACAGGCACCTCTGAGCACAGTATTTCCCAGGAGGACATTGCCCGGATCAGTAAGGATCTGGAGGACAGCGTTGGGTTGGACTGCAAACGTTACCTGGGCTTAACAGTGGCAGCTGTTCTCGGACTTCTTGTCTTCCTTACCCCCATCGCCTTCATTCTGTTACCCCAGATCTTGTGGCGGGATCATCTGGAGCCGTGTGGTACTGTCTGTGAGGGACTGTTCATCTCTGTGGCATTTAAACTCCTCATTCTTCTGATTGGGACCTGGGCTCTGTTTTTCCGCCAGCCCAAGGCAGATATACCAAGGGTGTTTGTGTTTCGAGCCCTTCTGTTGGTCCTCATATTCCTGTTTGTGTTTTCCTACTGGCTCTTTTACGGCGTTCGCATCTTGGACTCGAAGGACACCAACTACCAAGGAATAGTGCAGTATGCCGTGTCTCTGGTGGATGCCCTACTCTTCATTCACTACCTGGCCATTGTGCTGCTGGAACTGCGGCAGCTGCAGCCCATGTTCACTGTCAAGGTAGTTCGGTCAACGGATGGAGAGTCGCGATACTACAGCTTGGGGCACTTGAGGTAGGTGCAAGTCCAGCGGTGTAGATAAGTGTGGCTATGCTGTAGCATGAAGTATCAGCTGCGTTTGTGCATGTAATATCACTGGGTTCTGAATCTTCCCCCAGAGGAATTCTAGAGTCTCTCCAAAGTTACCAAACTGAATGTCTCTTCCCCTCTGTGGGTGTGGGAGGGGTTGTCCCTGCTTCAGAGGAGTTCTGTGCATTTCTGTAAGTGAAAAGAGCTGATGGCACAACTTTAGGCTGGTCATTGGACTAACGCTGATGAGATCTATGTTTAAGATCTTTGGACTTCCTGCCCTGTCTCCTCACTGGAGGAAAGCGGGGAGGCTTCCTTGTGTAGCTGGGGCTGGCTTGTGCTCTTTGGCTGTATGGGCCAGGCACCACTTTGAGAGCATCCCTTGAGGCCGTGGAGATCATTGCTCCTCGGAGCCTCCTGACAGCAGGCCAGTCCATGTGGCAGGGGCTGAAGGAAGAAGTAAGTGGCCCTGCATTGAGCAACCCAATGTACTTTTGAAAATGTCCATTTGTTCTTATTGCCCTGCGCAGCCGAGAGTCATGCGAGGAGCCTGATTAAACATCCCTCAGGTCAGATCGAGCTCTGTTGTTTGGACTCTGTGCGCGCCTTTTGCGGCCAGTTGAAATTCTTGTGTTCAGTTGTTTGTGCTCTGAAGCCTGTTACTGGACAGGCTGGTGCTACCTTGAAGTGCTTAGGCTGATAACTACACTGAGGGGTCTGAAGGCTGCTTCCAGTGACTGGGGACTCTTTCTGTGTTTCTAAGATCAATTTTCTGCAGTTTTGTGTTGGCTTGAGGGAAATAGCGTTTA